ACAGGGCTGCGAGGCATATAATTCAGTGTCTTGCAAAGTGAAGCATAGAATGCTTTCTAGTCCTTTCCTGTGAGGCGTGCGTGTAATCATCTCGCCAGCAAGAACGCACCACACACACACACCAGAATCCTTCCGTAAAAACAGGTTTATTCCCAAATACAAAATGGTGGAAGAAGACGCCAGGCCCAGGAAAAGCACTGCTTAATATACCCTTGGAGCGGTGCATTCACCTCTGATTGGCTGCTTACTCGTAGCGTGCCAAACGCCGTGGGATGGGCTTTAACTTTGGCAGGCCTTTTCCATGGCACATGCGCAATTCACCTATTCACCAGGAAAAATCCCGGATGTCAGGCAAACGCAGCTTTAGCCAGCGCATGCGCGGCTTCCTACACTTTTCGTCATCACCATTACTCCTGAGGAGTAAAGAAACACCAGAGAAAGCAGATGGCAGTGGCACACCCCGTAAAGTCCCAGCACTTGGGAGGCAGAAACAGCTGGGTCTCTGTGAATCTGGGGCCAGCCTGGTCTATAAAAGGAGTTCCAGGACAGCCAGGACTACACAGAGAAACCCTGTCTTGGGGGAAAAAAGAAAAAGGAAGAAAGGAAGACAGACAGACAGACAGACAGGGAGACCAGGAGATAATGATGACAATACCTTGGAATTATTCAAGGTACAAATTAACCCTGGAGGTTAGTTATTACGAGGAATTTCTCTTTTGGAAGACCACTGTCACAGTTTGCTCACTTACAGTGGGTCTCTGATCCTCTTTTCTGTGGTGATGTGGAAACAGGTGTCAAGTTTGAAATTAGATCTGCTAAGCTGGGGTTCTGTTGCCCGAACTCTGCTGGGGCCTCAAATAAATCCATGTGCAGTTTTTCCTTTTGTGTGAAGAAAAAGCCATGCCTCCAACAGAATAGGATAAAAAACTGTAACTATTTCAAGTTTTATCCTGAAATTTGGCCTGGACCTATGTAGATGAAGCTGGCCTTGAACTTACTGTCTCCGTCTTCCAAGAGCTAGAGTGAAAGACACATGCTACCATGCCCGGCCTTCAAGTTTTATTCTTTTGTATAAGAAAATAAATCAAAATAATTAAGGAATTACTCAGGTCAATGCAATTGCCATGAACTTTCTGTTTCGGTTTTCCGAGACAGGGTTTCTCTGTGTAGCCCTGGCTGTCCTGGAACTCACTCTGTAGACCAGGCTGGCCTCGAACTCAGAAATCTGCCTGCCTCTGCCTCCCAAGTGCTGGGATTAAAGGCGTGTGCCACCACTGCCCAGCGGCCATGAACTTTCTAACTTGGGACACCTTGTATACTGTTAGAGTCTGATAAATGTCTGATTGTATGTTGGATAGCAGAGATAGCTGTCTGTGCACAGCTGAGGCATTGAACGCAATGGCGAAGCAACAGCTGATCAAAGATTTCTGCCCACTAGACAAATAATACTAGCATCTGAGTTTGGGCTGTCAGGCCAAACTTCCATAGCCTGAAATTTTACTTATAGAAGGAAATGGAAATGCCCTCACTGAATATACTGACTATACAGCATCCTTGTTGACTGTAAAGCATGATATAGGTGGACAGTCCTCATGACCCAGATGGCTTTCCAACTCTAGAGAGGACCACCATCATTTACTTTATTTGTTCAATAATAATTTTCTACACACATGCACACACACACACACACACACACACCCCAGCTTTGCAAAAAAACGATGTCATATTGTTCTAATGATTGTTCTAATTTTTAAACACTTAAGATGGAACATTTTTGCATAAATCATATGGATCAGGCTCACCTATTTAAATCTTTAGGCATTTATCTCAAGGTTTGCACACTAATTTGTTAGTGATCATTTAGTCAATGACTGGTGAGTTCCTGTTTGGGTTTTGCCGTCTCAAGTCACCGTCACCAGCTGCCATCCCTTTCCTCTGTGCTTACATGGTTAGCTCTTTACAGTAACTTCCTAGAATTGGAATTTCTGGGTAGAGTGGCCTGTACTTTTAAATACAGTAGCAGGTTTCCTTTGGCAATGGTGTGGAGGTCTCTACACACCTCTCACCAATAGTGAGAATCACTAATTTCTTAGAAGCCTGCTAGGAAAAATTTTAAAAACTACCTTTTAATTTTGTATTTTTAACTAACTACATTGAATGACTTGGGACTTCCCTTTAAATGACTATTTCTGTAACATAATGTAATATTTGACATAAACCCTTCTTGCTGTAACTGAGAAGTAAAAAGTGTCCCAGCCACACAGTGTTTCTAAATTTATTTCAAAACTGCATTCATCTCCACCTCTTCCCATGTTTACAGACTCCATCAGAATTAAGTTCAGCATGTGCTTACTTATGAAACACATCACACACAGGGAAGTACTAGTTAACAAATTCTGTCTGCCCTCCATTCACACACCTTGACATCTAGAAAAGCCACAAAACATACAAAGCAATGGGCCCTGCCTGCCAACGGAGCACACACAGCGGCTTTTGGTTCTGTACTTTTCCAGCGAGACCCACAGGGCAGAAACCAGTACAGTTCTCAAGTGTTTGCTTGCTGACCCCACAGCAAGGTGCCTAAGCCAGTCATCAGTGAGGTCATCAAGTTGAAAGATGTTGCTGATTTCTAATTGGTGGACAGACTTCTTATAGTATTTGCATTTTATCACCTTATTATAGCTGTCATTATATTAAATGTGGGTAGGCTGACAAATTTACCTTTGAGGGGGACTTTACTATATGCCATGCCATACATCACTATTTACACTCACAAGGGCAGCACACTCAAGTACAGTATAGTCGTATCTAAAGGCTTTTTACAGAACTGCATACCCAGAGATTTGAGTATCACCCACTTATCATCCCACTGTTTGCCTAGATGCCATAAAACTGTGCAAGGTGCCACTGAATCTTATAGCTCTGTTACATCATAAATGAGACTTTGTGTATTCAGACTTTATATATATGAATAATATGAGATAAAGTATTATTTCATTTATATTAGGGTATAAAAAGCATAAAGTACTAAGATTATCCTTTAAACTTGTGTAAAAGTGTGATCAACCATCACTAGGCTTGTCTGATTTGAAGGGAGGGCACAGGACTGAATGACCTTAGTCATTGTTTGGTAGCTTTAGGAGACAAAGTCCGCAAACTGAATCTTCTAGTATAAAAAATATATCCAAGCCAGCCATGGGTTTGCCTATTATTCCAGCACTCAGAGGCCAAAGTAGGAGTAATTGCTATTAAAGTCCAGTCTGGGTTGGGCTACATAGAGATCCTATCTTTGAGGTAGGGGTGTGTGTGTGTGTGTGTGTGTGTGTTTAATATATCCTCTCACAAATGTATATGGTCCTAGATTAAAATGCTGTGAGCTTTTGGACTCAGAGAATGCAAACCATTAACATTTGAGCATCTCTGTGTCCTGTGTGACTTGCTCTCTTCTCTAGCCATGCTGTGGGTCAGGGATTTCACTAGGTACTCTCTGAAAACTAACCTGGTACTAGTTGGCACAATGAGAGGTTGAAAGGACAGCACCATCCTGAAGCCAGCAGGAATAAGCTGTGTGACTAGCTCAAGGAGCCCCTGAACAGCCTGGGAGAATGGATCAGTCATGAGAAAGGACCATGGGAAGAGGACGGAGAAGATGCACAGGCCAACAAGATGGAACTCAACCTTCAAATACAATGGTGAGTCGATGTATTTCTTCTGTTGGTGGGACCAAGAACAGAGTGGTAGCATGGAAAGGTGGCTGCTGTTGTTGGTGTCCTGGAGGTCACGCCACAGTGTTCATGTAAAGAAGGGTCATTTATGAGGGTGAGGGTAGCAACTATGATAAACCACCCCAAAACTTTAGTTATTATTTAAGGAAGGATGACGGTCTACATAAATTTTCACTCTAACAAAAGAAAGATAGGTGACCAGAGTGCCAAGGTGACATTCTTAAGCAAGGTCCCTGTTTTTGTTGTTGTTTTGAGACAAGGTCTGTCTATGTAGTCCAGGCTGTACCAAAGGCTTCTATCTTTTTTTGTTTGTTTGTTTTTGGAGACAGGGTTTCTCTGTGTAGCCCTGGCTGTCCTGGAACTCACTCTGTAGACCAGGCTGGCCTCGAACTCAGAAATCTGCCTGTCTCTGCCTCCCAAGTGCTGGGATTAAAGGCATGCACCACCACCGCTGGCTGATCAAAGGCTTCTATTTTAATGATGTTCTTATGTTTAATATGGAGAGAGAGAGAGAGAGAGAGACAGAGACAGAGAGACAGACAGAGACACAGAGACACACAGAGAGAGAACATAGGATTTTACAACTTAGAAAAATTCACGTAAGATATAGACTTTATTTTCATGGAGTTAAGCCAGATGTTTTCCCCTCGAACACAGAGTTTTTCAGAAAGGTTTCTCTGCATAGCGCTGCTGTCCTGGAACTTGCTCTGTAGATCAAGTTGCCCTCAAACTTGGAGATCCACCTGCCTCCTAGGTACTGGAATTAAAGGTGTGTGCTACCTTAGCCCTGCTAAACCATCTGTTTAAAAGTAAATCTAATTAAATTTATTCTTTATCTACTTACTATCATACCAACCAAATTGACAGTTGCCTTTGAAAGATAATAGGTTATAAGATCTAACAGGCTGAATAAAATCACAGATTGCAACCTACTTAACTTAACAATAAGAAAAACTCTCCAAAGATCACGAACCTTTCCAATAATATACAGAACTCTCTGTAAAGCCGGAAGCCTGGCCTGGCTGTGACATCATGTTCTGAGTCATCAACTTTTCCTTGGAGAACAAGGCACACAACTCCTAGCCTTACAAATTATGAGTTTTAAAAAAAAATCCTGAGAAAATAGGAATCATATCCACCAGAAAGAAAGGTAGGAGCTCTGGGACAAGATATTAATATGAAGTTCAATCTTACATTTCCAGCAATGCACTTCCATCTGTAGGAGAGGTCAGTCATTTTACAGTCTAATCTGAAAGAACGGAAGAAACAGCAAAATTTTCCAAAAACGAGTTTATTTTGAAAAGTCTTTTAGTCCTCAGTACAGAGATGATTTAAAAAAAATAATTTCCTACGTCTTTCAGGCTAGTGGTAGGATGTGGTAGCCCTACCACAGTTTTAGTGGCTGTCAGCAGTCTGCACCTGAAGTGACACCATTGCTCAGTACTGGTTTTGTGTTTTAAGTTCAGTGATGACCCAGTTATTTTGTTAATGCTCTTTGTCAACAAATATTTCTCAACATCCAGGTATGTTTTCCAAATCAGTGAAAAGTATGAGATCCTTGGGAAAGATATTAAGCATCCCCATGAATGTCAATGGATGCAATTATAGACAACGTGATCATGATCACTTCCTAAATGGATTTCTGAAATCGTAACTTAGATTTAATGCTGTTATTTTAGATATTGCCAATAATTACTATCCACAGAACATTTTAGTATCATTTCTTCAGTCAGGACCAACGTATATGAAATAATTGCTAGCCCTCGACTTATGTGTAATCATGATCTTATTTATTTTGTCCTCTTTATTGTCTTGGTGTCTCAGGAAAATATGAATTCAAATAAATTAGTGATCCAGAATTTTGAGCTTTTGGATCAGGAGATGGGCTGGTTTTAAAGACAGATGTCTAGACAATGGATTAAATATTAATGAGACAAAACCAGTAATGTCATATGAAACAACAACAACACTGGACCCAGCATGAAATTAGGGCAAATGCAATAGTGCACTAGATACACATGAAAGAGGGAAGCGTAAGTCCTGAGTATGCTCCCGGAGAAGAGGGCACATGAACTATAAAGACTAAATAAAGTGTATATGTTTCATAAATTTCATTTGAAGATGGGCTCTCTTTCATTTGCCATCATCTGAGCTAGTTCCTTCTTTTAGAGCCACCTCAGACATCAACACGCAGTCCATGTTTTGGAGACATCGTTTGTCTAGTCCCTGTTAAATACATAAGGAATGAACACATGTGTGGCAGGGACAATGTGCTTATTACGTAAAACCAGAAGGGCAAAGGAGGAGTTTTCCCAAATGGACATATCCACAGGCCGTGACGGATTCCATCGCGGATGTGGTGTGAGGTCCAGGAAATGAATATCATCCACGGGAGGAAGCGCCATGAGTCCCTGAGCTTGAACAAGTGCATGGCGAGCTTCACACTCAGAACCGTGATGGGTATCACAGTGGAACAGTGAAGGAAAGGTCTTCTCGGAAGAGTCAAAGCAGCCTGAGGGGAGAAGGAGCTGCTAGCATCATTTCCTTCTTTGTCAAATCTCACAGCTGCCTCTTAGTATTTTAACATACTGAGCATCAACTGATGCAAGGAAAACACAACACCACAGACAGGCCTAACCCATGATTTCCAAAGCAATGGCTTCCCTTTCCACTCTCACCAGTTATTCCTCCTTGCTGACTGGGCTTCAGGGCCAATAACTCTGATACATACTTTGTTTCTGACAAAACGAAGAAGTTATGCTTTATCCACCAATCAGCAGATATTTACTAAACACCTACTAGGTGGATCAGGCCAGTGGCTAGCAAGGCAAAAATCCTTGCTTTGAATCTGTATTTCTTTTCTGAAATGTTTGTAAATCATATGCATATAAAAGGCAGGAAAATCTTTTGATATTTAGAAAATATAATGTGTAGAAGATATTAACTGAGATACCATTTTAAGTTTAGTTTAACGTTTCAAGGCTTGTCATTACAAAACTAAACACTTGAAGGTCTCAATATGATTTTCGACTTCTCCACCAGAGACTCCGGTGGTAGCCAGTCTGTTGAAATGCATATCTTTGGCCTCAAGTGAGGCTGGAGAAGTTTAACCACTTAAGTCATTCCTCGGGGATGAGAATAATTATAAAACTATTCATCAACGGCACACATAGGAGATGCACACTAACTGGAAGGCATGGAGAGCAAGAGGAGAGTGTTAAGTGTGGCCGTGAAGACAGAACACTGACTGGGGAAGACGGGAAACGACAGCCATTCACTTTCACCAGTTGCTCGACGAGCTAGCGCCGGACCTCTCAGCACAGTTAATAGCTCTTACTTATGTCTATACGGGCCTTTGTGACAGCAAATTTGATTAGCGACGTATCTCTGTGTATCTTCAGGGAAGTTTAGACACCCCCCAAAAACATTGAATGAATTAGCTTTCCTATTTTAAGTAAGACACTCTCTCTAGCTTATGGCGGCTATAAAGATCAGCATGGCGGTATCAAAGACATTAAAGCCAGAGAAGTTAACTACGTTGACGTCTTCCTTACCTGTAAGGATAGGGATCTAGCTTGAACAAAATGGTCGATATCGATAACAGACGCTAAAAATCCAGCTAGAAGAACCTCTCCAAAGTCAGACTTCCTCCTGATGCCAATGACTACTGCCCACGACCACATGCCAATCACTCCATGTACTATGTTATCTGAGAGGGCACGGAGCCAGTTATTTTGCTGAATTATGGAAAACCGAAGAAGTCTGTCAACTACTAGGCAGAAGATCCCCAGACCAAGGCTGGAAATGAGGGACTCCGTGCTACAGCATGGAGGTGAAGCACGGGTCTTCTCAACTTTGGATGCCATCATCAACTGTGTCAGTACAGTAAAAGCCATCAGGAACTAACAGGTAATTCTTGCTTTCATCCCCTGTATCCTAAAATAGAAACCAAAGAAAAATATGAATGAAAGTTATGGATCACAACATAGTATTTAAACAGCCAATATCAGCAGAGAAAAATAGCATCCCTTACATGGCATGAAATATGCTGTTTGGCCAAAAATAATAAGTCAGTTTTGCAGGAGAAACAGTTTATGTAGAATTTCAGAAAGCCCATTGAATTCGATTTATTCCTGCTAGGCATTTAAAGAACTCCGTCAGGATGTATAGGACGTATCTGTGCACTGGTACAGCCATAACCACTAGAAATGGGGAGAGTCCTGACCCCAGCACAGTTGCTTGACACAGCTCCAGCAAAGCTAGGAGGATAGCTGCAATTGCTGTCTTTCTATCTCTCACTTTTGGGGTGTTGGTCTCTGCATGTTGCATGATCATACTGCTGAATCTGCGTTATGATACATTTTATGTCTTCTCCTGAGGAAAACAAATTCTATCTCGGTCTTTTTAGGAAAATCCTTAAGTTAACTTTGTCTGGCCACTATTTGGAAGTCTTCCTTATGCCCCGGAGGTCATTAAAGCACAGATATACACATAGCTAGATGAGACCATTACTCCAGGAATCTTCTTGGGGTACTGGCCCTGAGCAAACTCCAACACTATAATTGGTGCAGGGTGGACAGAGACAATTGACAAACCCTGACTGGCCAGGAGAAAAGGTTACAGATTCAAGGCTTCTTTTTATTATAGGCTTAGAGCTCTCTGGGAATGTAGTTTAAAGATAGGGGGTCCTACAGGCTACATCTCTGGAGGAATCAAACTCAGTAAGATAGATTGACTAAAATAAAGTCTTCCTACTTTATAGCATAGATAATGAAACATATAGACAGTTAGGTATTAATGTTTGCTATTCATAAAAGGACCAGTTTAGATATTTTCTGTTTGTCTGGAGTGGTTAAAACACTGCCAGCCTAAAAGAAGGCTGTAATATAACAAATGTGTTTGATGTGGAGGAGCTAGTCTTTAGGTTCTTTAAATTGGAGCTATAGGGCTAATTAATAATAAAATATGTTCTGTTCATATTTTCTGTGACTGAACTTATAACCCTGGACATGTAATGAAAAGTCAGATACATAATCTGTTCCACTTGGACAGTCATTAGTCTGACTTTGTGCTGTGAAACTTGTATAAATAAAGAAGCACCTGGTTGCCAGTCAGTCACAGTAGCAGACATGGCCTGATCTCTAGTAAGTCAGAGCCACAGAAGCGGCCTGATTGCTAGCCAGTCAGAGCTGTGAAATCCACCTGACCATTGACTGACTCCCTCTCTTCTCTACTCCCTACTCCCTCTAGCCTACTCCTCATCTCCTCTCCAGCCCACCCTGTCAGCAAAGACCCTAAGACCGTAGGCCAGGGAAGCCCCCCAAGAAGGGGCAGTGCACCCAACAACTGCTTCCATAGTTTTGAAAAACAAATGTCTCCTTTTAAGTCTGGAGAGATGCCACAGTGGCTAAAACACCTTTGCTGCTCTTTCAGAGGACCTGAAACACCTACAATGGGCCGCTCACAACTGCTTGTAATTCCTGCCCTAGGGGATCTGATACTTTCTTCAGGCTTCCATGGACAACTGCACACACATGGTGCATATACATATACAAAGAAATACCTAAGCCTAAAAAAAGTCTCTTCTTTTTGGGAAAAATGCTTGTCCCAATACTTAAACTCTAGTGCCTGCCCTCATAGCAGCAGTGTCTAGTATAGTGATAAGGGTCACCCAAGCTAAGCCTGCCAGCCTCCTTTTCCTAAGTAAACCTTATATGGACTGGTCCACTTTCCCTTGGAGGCCACAGGCTTCAAGATACAAAACAGCTGGGGACAAGAAAGCCCTAGAGAAGTTCTTAATTCCAGCATTCTGCAGGCAAGGGGCAGGTGGATCCCTTTGAGATCTGGGTCTACATAGAGAGGCCCTGTCTTTAAAAATATCTCAAAGAAATACAAAGACAAAAAGCTAATAATGGAGACATCAAACCTCGGCTCCAGTGTCCAAGGTTTTCAAGCATGGCCTAGTTTCTATAGTTTACCCTTCACTTCTAAGAGCTACTCTATATTTTGTCTATTGACCAGAACAACAAACCCCAAAACTTTAGCTTATATGAAAAGGCAAGGGGGCTGGAGTTCAGCAGTTAAGAGCACTGACTGCTTTTCCAGAGGTCCTAAGTTTAATGCCCTGTAACCACATGGTGGCTCACAACCTTCTGTAATGGAATCCAATGCCCTCTTCTGGCAGGCAAGTATACATACAAATAGAGCACTCATATACATAAAATAAACAAATCTTTTTTTTTAAAGGCAGGCATAATTCTGTGATGAGTTCTAACCTGTCACAGCCTACTGAAATAATTTGTTCATTTGTCAAACGTTTCAGTGCTGTGCCACGTCTGAGTTTTATCATTTTTATTTGTTGGATATTTGCTTGCATCTTGTGCTTCCAGAGGTCAGAAGAGGGGATGGGATCCCTTGGGACTGGAGTCACAGACTTGTGAGCTACTGTGTAGGTGCTTAGAACTAAACCCGGGTCCCTGCAAGAGCAGCCGGTCCCTTGTATGGACAAATAGACTACAGTTCTTCACACTGTTCTCTACTTTTCTATATCTTTGACATTTTCACTTAGAAACGGTTTAAAGAAGAATCTAGTGCGGGGCAGTGGTTGATTGTTTGTGTATGTGTGGGGCACTGGAGAGTACAAAGTGCTGGATGTAGGTCTATTGTCCCAGCACTCAGGAGGCAGAAGCTGAAAAATCACGAGTTCCGATATTCCCAGATCAACATGAAGGGCATAGAGAGACCACGTCAAACAACATTAACACAACAAACAAACAAACAAACAAACAAAAACACCCCCTGCCCAAACTGCCTTTTTTTTTTTTTTTTTTTTTTCCGAAACAGAGTTTCTCTGTATAGCCCTGGCTGTCCTGGAACTCACTCTGTAGACCAGGCTGGCGTCGAACTCAGAAATCCGCCTGCCTCTGCCTCCCAAGTGCTGGGATTAAAAGCGTGCGCCACCACCCCCCGGCTCCAAACTGCCTTTATTAGGCTTTACAAACCAGTCCTATATTTGCTGTGTAAGTTAACACATTTAAGTCGAGTGTCAAAATATCAAAAGCAGATGCCAGATCTAATGCTGGTAATTAATAAAAGGAATAAACACAAATCTTGTTCATTTCACCGTAACTCTGAGGCCATCAGATCTCTCGTCACATGTCAAATATTTAGCGCTTGTGACTACTACAAATAAAATATACAATTAAGCGTACCAACATGTTTCTAATCTAAGCAAATTCCTCAAGTCATGTTTTTCTGAGGTCCGTGTGATCTAGTAAGTTTTAGATTCTAGAAAAAAGTAAATGTAAGATTTCTAAAATGTAGACTGTCAAGCTGGACAGGAAAGGAAGCCTTAGTACTTAGCTAACTTGGGGCGCTTAGGGCTCTTCTCAAGTAAGTGGCAACGGGTTCTTCTGCTCACACACACACCCACCAGCTCCCTGCTCGGGTTGGGAAAGGCGCGGAGCCCGGGAGAGCAGCGTCTACGGGGTCCGGAAGGCGAGAGAAGGAGGAGGGGATAGGTAGGTAGGTGTGCGGCTCCGGGAGGCTCCGGGTCGACCGTGAGCCTGTCTACCCCCGAGCCTGCAGCCCCGACCCGGGACTTGGTCCTCTGCCGCGCCCTGCTCCGTCTTCCCTCTAGACGCAGCACGTCCCATCCGTCCCTCCATGCCGGGTAAGCGGCAGCTCAGCCCTACCCAGCACGCTTAGCGGTCGGCGGCCGAGCCAACAGTGCTCCGCCCCTCGGCCGCACCATAGAGAGGGGTGCGCCGGCAGCCAGAGCGACCGAGTCCTCCGGGTCCCCGCGGACGCTGGGACGCGGGCTCCTATCGGAGCAGCGCTGGTCGTTCACAGGATGAGTCGATGGCTGCGGTGAGTTCTACACGCCTCCAAAGCCGGACAGAAAAGTGGAAAACGTCCCGTCCGTTTCTTTGCTTAGTGCATATCGAATCACCCACCTCTCCACGATGCACCCATGTGATGGCAGGCAGCCAGGATGGAGAAGTCCCCTCACCGATTGCAGGGCACACCGTGGGTCTGGGGCTCGATGGCTCAGAAGTTTCTAACTTCCTTCAGTGGATGCCACAGGTCTGGGGATGCCATAGGGCAGGCGATGCAGGATCGCGCGACTTGTCAGACCTGACACACCGCAGTGCTTCACCGCCCCCTTGGGGATTTCTCAAGTCTTTGCTACCTACGTACGGGCGGGGGCGACGCGGGGGTTGGGAGGCGGCTGGTCTTAGGACATCAAGGGCATAGCAAAATCAAGACTACATACTAATCATGTTGGAAACAAAAGACTAACTGGACTCGGATCCCAATTCTGAAACTGTGGCTATATATGCCTTACTGTCTTGGTGAGGCAGCTGCTATCTTAGTACAAGGAAGCATCTGGTGTGAAACAGCCCAAAAATGTCCAAGAGGGGACATTCTTTACTCTTCTTATGTCCTCAAAACAAGTATCATGGAAAACAAGGCCAGCAGTATTCATGATAATTGGAATCTTCAGTTTCAAGCAAATTCCTGGGTCACCTGAGAAATCTCAACCTGCACTTTGATTTGTACTGCTTTAGGATTAGAGATACTTTTATAATTAAGGACCCCTATGGCAGTACAGTTGGTATATGTGCCATACAGTCTAGGCTTTCTGGAAGCCCACTGGCTAAAAACAGTGATTCATTCATACAACACATCCTGAATACTACTGTTGTGCTAGGCTACAGAATAGCTTCAGATTAACTATTCCAATAGAGGCGCTCCTTTATTAGAGGGTACTGACCGCATGGAAATACACTGTACAGATAGTGATAAGTGGTGTTAAGGAAATACGGTGATAAATAGATCTTTAACAAGGTAGTTGGGACAACCATAGACAAACGTTTGCTGAGATTAGAAAGGCGAAGGAGCCGGAGGGTGGCTATAAAGGGGTGGGGGGCTGTTCATTCAACTAATTGACACTATCACTCCCGAATCCACTATATAGTCCCTCTATTCCTGTTTCCTGCCTGTTAATGGTAAGAGCCTGAGAGATTAGGATTCAGACCCCCTGTGATGCAGAGAGAGAGGGAAAAGGGTCCATGGCTAGGCAGTAGAGGTGGCAAATCTTCAAGAGGGCTACTTTCTGCAATCCTCTGGTTTAAGACAAAAGCCTGGCCGCTTTTGTTTCCCATCAGCCCGCCCCCTGCTGATGGTCTGGCTCAAGTTCAAGGCCGGATCATGACAAGACCTGTTGTGGACTAACACTCAAGTAGAGGAGGAAGACTTCAGGGGGTTTTAAACACAGCACCCTCAAGAGACTGGGCTTTCTGGCTTCCGGGGTTCCTGCTCTGGTTTTTGGAGGGTCTTTTTCTCTGAGCCTCTGATGCCTTTCCTCACGCCCAATAAATGCTTTTCTTCAACCGCTGGCTCTGTCTGTGGCACGAGATTGCTTTGCTGTCCTTTGTGGGCTTTGGATTTCCTGCCTTTGAGCAGAGAAAACAAACCCGATCCTGACACCTTACCTATATCATTTAGGTTGTAACAGGATTGCTTAGGTCACTTTTCTCTTTTCTTCTTTCTCTTTTTCTTTCTTTCTTTTTTTTTTTTTTTTTTTTTTGGTTTTTCGATACAGGGTTTCTCTGTATAGCCATGGCTGTCCTGGAACTCACTCTGTAGACCAGGCTGGCCTCAGAAATCCGCCTGCCTCTGCCTCCCAAGTGCTGGGATTAAAAGCATGCACCACCACCGCCCGTCCACTTTTCTTTTTTGATATATAGTTTTTGCTTTTTATAGTTTGGATAGAGGAGAAAATGATCCCTGTTTTTAAGTGGTAGACTCAAAATCCCCTGGGTAGTTTTTTAAAATTATCTTTTATTTTTGTGAGATAATATATTACTTCTGCCTTCTCTTCCCTCCCTCCAAGCCCCCTCATATACACTGCTGCCCCCCACCCCAACCCCCTGCTCTAAAAGCCCAGGAGGCCTCAATCCTACATAAAAAAAAAAAAAAAAAAAAAAAAAAAAAAAAAAAAAAAAAAAAAAA